TTGAAGGTTGTCTTCCAACCTGGAGATTGAGGTTTCCCACACAAAGGAATCAAAATTGATACCTCGAGGAGATGGACATTTTTTCAAGTCTTGGAGTGGATCAATGATAATGCCTATAAGCTAGATTTGCCAAGCGACCATGGTGATGTTAGTGCAACTTTTAATGTTGCTGATTTATCTTTGTTTGATGTAGGAGATTCTAGGACGAATCCTATCAAAGAGGAGGGGAATAATGGAGATCGAGGTGCTGACCAAGTTGATGTTCCCAAATATTCTCAAGATCCTTTGCAAGGAATTGGCAGTCCAATGACTAAGGCAAAGACAAAGAGGATGAAAGAGACTTTGTAAGTCTTGATTATGGAAGTGCAATACAAAGAGGTTGTACTAGAAGACTCTAAGACTAAATTCGAAGATTTCAAAGTTTCACCAAGGATGGTCTATTATCTTTTTATGCAAGAGGTAGATTCGGAAGATCAAGTTGGATGCATGGATTAATTTAGGAATTAATTTTCATTTATTTAATCTTGGGCTTTTTTTTATGTTTTAATTATCATTAGATTCTTTAGTCTTTTATTTATTTAAGGTTTATTTAGGCCCAATTCTCTTGTACTTAGGCCCAACCCATTTTTCAATTAGCTAGGGTTTTCTTTTAAGGTTTGTTGCTTATAAAAAGGAGCAGCCATGCTATTTTTTTAGGGATAGATTATTATCAATTGAAGTTTATTTCAGAAAGCTATTTGTTTTGCCTTCTTGTGTTCTTGATTGAATGCTTCAATCTCGACTTATCAAAGGGAGTTATCGACCTTTGTGGCGTCTCAATATTAGGGTTTTAAGGACTTAGTTTCCTTAGGGTTCTAATTCGATCATCCTCAACACGTTCCTAGCAAACCAACTTGTTCCTATTCCATCAAATAAGCCTTTAGACCCCTAAGTCACCTAGTGGACAAGTTATAGTCAGGGTTTACAGCAATGTTACCCATAAACATCCAACAAGTTCTACCAAGACTCATTGTCTGCTGACTTGGCAAGAATTGTTGAGCACAAAATTAGCCTATATCATTTTCATTCTTGCTCATTTGTTAAGCTAATCTAGTTATTCATATTGATTGTGCTCTAAACTTTTCAGAGAGTTTATTCCTTAACAAGTTCTATTTACGTTTTGGTGCTAAACCTTTATCATCCTTCATCTTTGTTGAATGGCGGCTGGAACTTGGTTCCATTGTTGATGCTGGAGCGTGGCTTCAACGAGTGAAGCTTGGGTGGAGCTCAAGCATTCTCCGAGAGTGTTCTTAGCGTGAAGTGATCCTAGAAGCGACGATACATTAGAGATTGATCAGAGGTTGGTGTTTAATGTAACTGTAATATTCTCTCTAGTTAGTAATTCTTTGAGAGATATATAATAAAATCCACTAAATAACTTTTGAAAACATATATACATATATGTATATAACGTAAAATCTAAAAACTCTAATTTTAATTCATATAATTATATACAAAAAAAAAAATTAATATACTTTAATAAGTACAAAATATTCTTGGACAGTGTCGCCAAACTCCTCCGCTTACTGACTTCCCACCCGACCGTAAATCATCTAGTACCTGCAAAACAGTAAAATAACGAAGTGAGCAGTAATTGCTCAGTAAGTAAACCAAACTACACTACTATTTTTCCTCCGTTACTCATATTCTGACTTTGCTTTTCTCACTTCAATCTTTTCTATTATTCTTAATTCTTTTCTAATATTCTTCATTCTTTTCTAATATTCTATATTCTTTTCTAGTATTCTGCATTCTTTTCTAATATTCTGCATTCTTTTCTAATATTCTATATTCTTTTCTAATATTTTGCATTCTTTTCTATTATTCTGTATTTTTTTCTAATATTCTGCATTCTTTTCTATTGTTCTTCATTCTTTTCTTTTATTCTAATTTGCTACTTACCAACGTGCAAGGACAATTAATAAAAACATGTACATCGTCGTGCACATAAGAAATTCTAAATAATGCAAGTAGCATAATACATATGCAGAATAATAATTTTTTTCTAAGAAATAAACTTTCTTTTCTTTTCTGCTTTCTGTCTCTTATTATGTTTCTCTTTCTTTTCTTTATTCTATTTTGATTTGCCGATCGGACTAGGCTGAGGCATGGATTTGGAACCTTGGCTGTGAGAATGTATTCTGAAATTCTTTCTGGGTACAGTCCTCATCCACATGCACTTCTAACGGACTGTATTAATTCTATTTTTCTATTCTAAGGCCGCTCACTGATGGCGGCGTGCATGTAAGAATTTTCTGCATCTCTGTCACTCACGGGTTCCCCATCGCAACAACCTTCTAACATAGCATTCTATATTTTTGAAAGATATTCTATACACATTTCTAAATAAATTTACAAGCTATGGAAATTCTACAATTGCATTCTTTACTAAATAAGAAAATATACGTATTTGCATGTTGGCTTAAAAAGAATCTACAAGCCGTTTTCTTTTCTTTCTTTCTCTCATTCTTTGCTAACATTTTTTTTAATATTCTCACAATATATGCATGGTCAAGCCTACTCTTTCATGTTCTTTCCAAGTTCAAATACACAAACTTGAGAATTCATTATGGCATATTGATATGCCATGACATATTCTACCAATTCTCTACTATCACCAATGCCATATCAAAGTAGCAATTTAACATACAATTCCTTTCTAACACTTTCCCGAAGTAATAAGTTTCACAATTTCTAATTCAATAACTATGCAATGTGTTATTCAAGAAATACTAAAGGGTCAAGTAAATTGAACCATGCACTAAAAACCATTTATCTCATTGAGCTAACATGACCAAGTGATATTCTAAATTTTGGCATAACAAAATGCACTCTTGAATACTAAAATGTACACTTGGTTAAGCCCAACATAATCTTTCTACTTCAATTCTTGCCTTTCTCTAATCATTTCTTCAATAGGATTTAACCAACTCATGCATGCATTTCTCTTTGGATTTTCATTAAACAATTCATATGCACATGCAAAAACTTAGTTGGCCACACTTCCACATCTCTCTAAATCCACCAAAATTTGAGCAAAAACTCACTAACTTTAGCCTTAAACCTGGCTGGTTTCAATAACTCTTCAACACTTCAAAGTTTCAACAATAATTCTTCCATAATTCCACCAAATCACCACATACTCATACACTACTTCTCATGGCTAGAAATTTACACATCATTCAACATCAAAACAGCCACTAATTTCCACCATAAAATCACATACAAACATACAAGAATCATTCTACACAGTTATTGCTCAAGTCAATACTAAAGTTGGTTTACTTACCTTGAATTTGTACAACACTAGTGATATAACCTCCATTTGCTAAACTTCTCTTCCTCTTGGACCTAGATCATATAAAACCATAAAAATTTAAAACCTTAAAGTTTAATCACACACCTTGTGTTAGAATCTTACCTTTGGGTGCTTTAGGATTGAAACTCTACAAAAATCTAAGCCAATCCTATGAATTCTCTTTGAGATTTGGTGAAGAAATTTGAAAGAAAAAGGGGTGAGGGTGGCGTGTACAAGGGCTGAAAATGGGTTAGGGTTTATTCTCATGAATACTTATAACTAATAATATATACATGTATTCCCATTTTGCCCTTGCACTTTCTAAGAAATCCCATCTATATCCTTTAGTCAATTACCAAAATACCTTCATTTCTATTATCTTCTTCACATTATTTTGCTTCCTTTCACTCTCCACTTTTTCATCTAATCAAGAGTGAAAAGACCATTTTACCCCTAATAAAGTTTTAAGGAGTTTTCTTCACATTTGTCTAAGATAACTTCAAAGAAATCCAACTTGGGGTATTAGGGCATAAATAAAATTGCGTACCTTGATGTGGGTGTTACAGTAACGTAGAACAGTGAGTTCTCTTTGCCATAGCTAAAATCAACTCTGAGTGATATCTTGTAATGTTTGTTGTTATAGTAGATTAGCTTCGATCTGGATGAGGTCTCATGGATGTAGGCTAAGAGTGGTTTTGGCTATACCATGTATATGCTTGTGTGTTTTATCTTTATCGCTTATGGTTGTTGATTCATGCTTAACTTAATAACCATTAATCAACTTGGTAAAATCTTCCACTACACTTTAAAAATGGGTATCCAACGATGAATAGAGTTCACCAACTCTAACATTTTCCATTTTATGATTAAACAATCCATAATCACTATGTTTCAACACATACGGAACAGGACCGTGGACAAAGTCATCTGCAATAGCAACAAATTAACATTAAGAAATAATACAACCTGAGATTTCCATGTTTCATCTGAAAATGTTATAGAGGCAATAAAACTTCTCTTTCGATCAAGCATAATACTTCAAACTTTATCCTTCACAACTTTCGATTTCTTTTTCACTAACTTTCTTTGCTTCAAGACTCGTTTTATTGAAACTAAGTTTCTTCATCTCCTGGAAACATGGGAACTGCAAAGCTAAAAGCAAAAATAGAATATATTTAATTCCCATACATATTTTTTCAGTTTTCGATTGATATTCTTATTGTCAAAATCTCTCACATTGGAGTCCAGAGTTAAAAGAGGCAAATGAGGTTTTAGGAATTTTTTGGTGTATTAGAAATGTGGAGCGGAGAGAAAAAGGGAAAAGAAATAGATTTGATACAAGTTTTGGACTCCATTGGTATATATGCGACTGTAATATGATATCTCAAATCTCGATAAATACACAAGTTACAACACAAACATAACTGAAAAGATATTAACGGTGTCATGGATGAACCAACATAAATAATATAAAAAAATAAATAATTTATTTCTGATTGATAAACAGTAAAATTTTGGTAATGATAGAGAGTAGGTGCATTTATTCTACTCTACCACTCAGAAATCTACAACGTCCAAACCATGGATCATAAAAGCAAGAAAGGGTTGGTTTATTCTAGAAAGAAATTCAGGATTTGAGCAGGGTGTGAATTCCAAAATTGAATCAAAGTTCCTTACTTCCAGAATCATTTTTCTCCTTTTTTTCACCTCCACCCTTGCCGTTCTCACCATCTTTACTTCCACCTTTACCTCCACCCTTGTCACCGATCTGAACCGGGGCCCTACATGCGGGCGGGTTCATTTTACCAACAACGTTTGGTTTAACATTACTACACTCTGATGTAACTTGTCCATCTTGTCCAATGTATGAAAGGTCAATCTCACTAAGCTCCACACCTTCACATGTACCAGAGCTACAAGCAAGCTTTACAGCACACGGATTTGCTGAGGTTCCCTTTATATTTTTGAAGAAGACTTTGTTCAGCTTAACTTTTGAATGACCCTGAAAAAATCCAAGACATTTAAGTGAATATGTTATGATTAATTAATTAAATTCTCGTCGTTTGAATAGGAAGGACATGTAATATAAATATTAATTGAGCTAGCATTTTTTCTGGAAAGTAGTTATATACCTGAGCACATGATTTTCCAGGGCAATAGTTTTGATCTATAATAATAGGATTAGTGACATTGTTCATTGTAAGATCCTCAAAATGCAAATCACTTGCTGCGTTTTCATAGCGATCAGGCCAACTTTTGATTCTCACACCATTGTCAGTATTCGTGAAATTGCAATCCTTGATAGTGATTCCAGTTAGAGGTTCCTCATCTTGGTATCTTCCTAAACTTCCAACGCTCATGCCATGACCAGGCCCACAGTTAACTTTTGTGATGGAAACATTTTTGGTTCCACCAAGAAAGGAGATACAATCATCACCTGTTCCGATTGTTGAATCGCAAACCCTGATGTTAGTTGACTGTCCAATGTGTATTCCATCTGTATTTGGGCTATCGGCTGGCGCAGTTATCCTTAGGCGGTTGAAATCTACATTATTGCAGCCTACGACGGCCATGTGAAATTGTTTAGCGTTTATAGAACATATATCTTCGATAGTCCCGTCGGTAATGAAGTTGAACTTTACACTCTATTCGAATTTTAAGACAAAAAAAAAAAAAAAAAAAAAAAAAACAATCTAGATTAGTACCATATTGATATGATCATAATCATTAATTAAAAACATTTCCTTACAGTGCAAGCCTTATCATTAATAAACTTACCATGGGAAGCTTTCCAAGCCACCACCTTTACATTTTTCCCAAACTTTGGCTCCTTCGCCATCAAAAGTTCCACCACCAAATAGTTTAAACCCTGTGATTTTATTAAACTGAATCCAAGAATCATCTTTGATTTGATCTTCTGTGGGCTTTAAGGTGCCTTTAAATTCAACCTCAATAGAAGCTTTGCACGGACCTTCGAGAAGCACTTTTCCTGCTCTGTATGATCCTCGTGGAATCAATACTCTGCTTGGAGTAGGTGATTGACACGCTTCGTTCCATGCCTTAGTCAGAGCCTAATTAAGAAGTACATGAAATCAAAGTTAAGATAAAATTAATTTTAACGACAAATATTAATTGCAGCAGAGCCATGAGGCTTAATTATTACCTCAGTGATACAGCCACCGTTCTTTCCACCAAATTTACTTATATCAACAATTGCACCCTCATGAGCTTTAGCTGTTGATACCAACGATAACAAAAGTAATAATGATAAAATGGCTATATTTATCAATTTCGCCATCTCTTGAATTTGGTTTTGGTGTTTCTGTTAATAATTGTTTGAATGAAATACGAAACGTCTTAACCCCGTTTTATAGTAGAGGGAAGAGTGAAGAAAGATGATGGCCAATAATTCTATGAGCCAACCGTTGGCTAATTTTATGCTACGTTTGAAGAATGTAATGGTTATATTTATTTACTATTATTAGCTTTTTCCAATTTTAACAAACTCCAATCAGCTTGGGAAACTAGAAGTAAGGCGACTTTAACAGTTTGTTTTTGTGGATATTAATTAAATCTCTCTTTTAATTATTGTTTGATTATGTACATCTAATTATTAATTAAGGTATTGATGACAAAGACAATTTGATAAAAGCAAAGCATTTATTTTTATATTAAACTAGAGTTTATAATAGTATTATGCATGTTCAACATTTAAGCAATTACAGCATACATACAACAATTAAAAACAAATCTCCTAAATCAGAATTTTCATAATCATTTTATTAGGCAACGAATTCGTTTGAAAAGTTATATTTACAGTTGCAAGTATTAAGCATGCCTTATCCTCCGGATCCTTGACCTGGCAACACCAAATAATTAAGTTAATTTATTCAAGTATAGTGTTAATTATCATGGCATGGAGTAAAAAACTTTTTCCAACCCAAGGTTTGCCTTAATGACACTTTTCTACCCAAAAAGTTTTAAAATACCGGTTTCCCACCCAATGTTTATATTTTGTTAATACCCAAAATATACTTCACTTTTTCAACCAATGTTCGGCGAGTTATCAGGAGCCAGGATAAGAGGGTTTCTGTTGAGTGAAGGTCAATGGATTGAATATGGTGGTGATCGATTGAATATTAGCCTTCAGAATCAGTCAAAAATAAGCTAAAAACACGAAACTCTAACATTACGGTGACCAACGATCGACAAGAAATCAAGTGTCAAAATAAGAAAGGTTTAACTTTGGGTAGGAAAGTGGTATTTTAAAACTTTTTGGGTAGAAAATTGTCACTGAGGGAAACCTTGTGTTGGAAAAGTCGTTTACTCTCATGGCATGCTCATTTAATTCCTGTAAAAGAGAGTTTATAGCGTTTCTGAAAAGTAATTTTATTGATAGTAATTAGCTCATATATTTAGAATCATACCAAAAGGATGAGAATTTTTGTCTTAATGCATCACCTGATTATTCATATTTTTTATGGATGAAAAAATGATGATATGGTACCAAATACCAATTGTTGAGAATTCCGATTTCTGAGTGATTTATTATCCAAAATATATACAATTAATACAAAACGGAAAAGATGAACACGTATGTTCGCACAATAATCAGTTATTCGATAATTTATATAGGAATTAAATAAATTCGGATATTTATTTAATTCCTATATAAATGCATATTCTAATTAAATAAATATTACTATTTATTTAATTTATATATATTTCTCATATTTAATATATGAGTTTTAATAGATTTAATTTAAATTAAATATATTCCTTCATATTAATTAAAATTAATAGGAATCCAATTTTGCTAAAATTTCTCCCATATAAATATTGGATAATGGTGTCAACCCTAGCAAAATTACCAAAGTACCTTTTTCGCCCAAAATGACAAAAATGCTCATGGACTCCCAAATTATCGAAATACACTTTTCGGCCCCAAGGACAAAATTGTCCTTCCATTTCCAATTCTCACATGACTACTTTCTATGTGTGTGACCCGAATGCTCTTTATTTTGCCGGCAGTGTTCCGATAACTAATTAAGCATTAACCAATTAGTGTTTTCATACATAATCAAGATTGACCTCTAGCAAAGCATCATGGACTTACCTTTTTCTATAGTATGGTTACCATGCAATTCAATCATTTTCATCATCTTATATCTCATCAAGGTTTGAAGTACAAAAATAGTGTCTACTTCAAATATTGACCTTGACATGTTTATATTTGGTTGTCGAATCTATGACTATATAAAATTGGATTCGAGCACCAACTCGTTTGATTCCACCGTGGCCACGGTTTTGAGGTCGTAGTTCTTAGCCAAATATCTTGCCGAGATAAGATCTCCTGGAACCAAGAGTGATTAATCTTTTGTTGATCCACCATAATCATAGTGTACTTCTCGATGTAACCAATAATCACCGTTCTGGTAATCCCTAAAAGAGACGACATTAGGCTATTGTCAAATCACTTCAATAATTACACATGGCGCTCTGGTGATCTCAAGTCGAAGGACCACATTCACTACCATCTGTAAAAGGATGTATTCCATAGACACTGGGTTCACCATCTTGTATGGAATCCTCTGATGGGTCAATCCAATGGACTTGCACAAGCAAGCACCCATGCGTTACACCAGGTTGATGCCCACAACCTTGACATGTGAGATCGGTCACTACCTTTCGATATGGTCGTTCAACGTGATGATAGTCTTTCTGTATAATCTGTGTCCTTGGTCAGATTTATACTATGACTATGAACAGTTTTAGAATGACCATCATTTGTGCTCACAGGGTTCTCACAATTAACATTTGTTCTCATAGGGTTCTCACAATTAAAATTTATAACACTTAATTCCCTCGTCACTGGTTTCAACGTTTCTAAGGACATATACTATTATCTTTACACGTAGTAAGTATACGCTATAGTATATAAGCTTAAACAAGCAATGCCTTTTATTTATACAAAAGGTATTTACAATAGTCAAAATGTTGACTCTAATGCACATACTCTAACAATCTCTCACTTGCACTATAGTCAATCATTCATACGTTTAATCCCAAATGATGCTATGTGCCTATCATGCTTCTGTTGCGACAGAACATTCGTCAGTGGGTCTGGGATTTTATCATTAGTAGGTGCTTTACTAATTTATACATCACCTCTTTTCACGAATTCTCTAATGAGATGGTAACGCTGGAATATATGCTTGGATTGCTAGTGAGATTGTGGTTCCTAAGGCTGAGCAATGGCACCATTGTTGTCGTAGTAAAGCACGACTGGGTCAACAATGCTTGGAACCACTTCAAGTTCATTCAAGAACTTCTTGATCCAAACAACCTCTTTGGTTGCATTACCCAATGTGATGTACTCGACTTCCATTGTAGAATCTTCTACAATGCTTTGTTTTGAACTTTTCCAACTCACTGTAGTCTCATTTAAATAGAACACGTAACCTGATTGCGATCGAAAGTCGTCCTTGTCATTTTGAAAACTGGCATCATTGTATCCTCTTACAGTGAGATGATCTTCTCCTCCATAAACCAAGAATATATCTTTAGTCCTCTTCAGGTACCTAAAGATGTTCTTGATTGTTATCTAGTGTGTTTTACCTATATCCGATTTATATCTATTACAAATGCTCAAAGCATGTAAGATATCAATCCTAGTACATAACACAACATACATTATGGATCCTAGAGTCGAAGCATAAAGAATAAATCACATCATATCTCTCTCCTCTTGTGTCCTAAGCCTAGTTAGTAAATGCGTGTACGGCAAAAAAAGAGTACGGGAATTTTACAGGTATAATATGGCAAAAGGTGAAAAATACGTTTATAAAAATTCGGCCATAAAATTCAGATACAGAAAAAATACCGTACGGGTTTAATACGGTGCATTGTCAATAATACATTTTGAAAAATACGGCAATATCAATCTTAGTTTTAACACTTTTATGGACTACCTGGTTAAAATCAATATAACATTTCAAATGCAAAGTATTCAATTAACCAATAATACAAATACACAATATATAACTGATATTCAAATTATAGTCTCCAGACTCAAACACAATATTTAGCCAAGATTCAACTATAGTGTCAAATCAAACACATAAGTCATAACAAAACCAAAATTCAAAGTCTAATAAGAGCTCCAAACAAATAAAATACACAAATAATACAACCAAGATTCAAATTATAGTTTATAACAAAAACTCACAAAGTACATAAACAACAATAAGCCAAAAACAACTCAAAAAGGAGCATCATCCAACCAAGCAATGTTATCATTATTCATTAAGTCATCCATGTAACCCTCAACTGTTGGTGTAGAATTAGCATCTTCGTTCATATGAATTTCTTCATATTCATAGTCTGGAAGCTCCCCCAATTTCTCAAGATCTATAGGTTCCAAGTCACAACTCATCGTGGAAGTGAATTTATCCATCATCATCGTGTTCATCCTCACATACACAAGTGTGTCTAGCATTTCATGTGACAACCTATTCCTTTTTTTTGTTTGAGCAGCTTCAAAGACATTCCAATTTCTCTCACATGATGAAGCGCTACAAGGTTGACTCATAATTCGAATGGCATACTTCTTGAGCATAGGAAGATCATCCCCATTGTAATCCTACCATATTCCTGCAAATGACATAAAAAGCTTTCTTGAATATAAAGAGAGAAGCAATGTACAAAAAAGATATTGAAATTTTTTAAAACACTTACGAGGATGACTTGTTTGTAACATCGTTTTTGCCGTTGCAATAAATAAGGTAGCTAGCCTACTACGATACAACTGAACCTCTCTCATAAATGGATGCTTTTCTTCTATTAGAAGCAGGTTTTCATGAATGAAATTGATGTCATCTTTCATCTCCCTATCCTCTCTAAAATTTTGTGAGAAAAAGTAAGATGGATTGAGAAAGGCAGTTGCCGCATGTATAGGATGAATGATGTTGTTGACCCGACGATTCTCAAACACTTCCCAAATTCTCCCATACTTGCTTGCCTCACTATTACATCTTTCTTTGATTGCAACTTTTGCCCTCATCATTGCTTCATATAAGTAACCAGCAGTAGATCCATCACCTTCAACCAAACGAAGAACTCAAACCAATGGCTCAATAGTTTTTATAACCTCCCTTCCTCTAGCCCAAAAATCACTCTGAACAATTTCAGTGACTCTTTTACCTTATTCGGTCTTACAATAATCAAAACCCCTCCATTCAGATGAAGCAACAAAGAGTCAAAGTTCATTCTCCAAATCCAACACAGATTGAAGCTTTA